ATTTTAAATTTTAAAGTGTTTGTTTGTCTTTGTTTAGTGTATTTGTTATGTCCCAATTTACATTTATGACATTCTGTTACTTCTGGATAGGCCACAATTCACGAAATGCCCCTGAGGATGATCTTGTGATCGAAAGTACTTAGGCAAGATTTGATTAAATACTGTGTTCGATATTTGCCTTGTGTACCATCAAAGTTCATTTATTCGAACATTCAACCTTATATTGATTGACTTCTATAAGTGTTGACATCTTTCGTCTTTAGCATCTGACGTCACATTTTTTTTGGGGTTGACTTGCTTAACAGGTGCAAGTCTTTTCCTCGATGCTCGCTCAAGCTCTGGATATTTTTCGGTGCTGCCTAATCTTCATCTTTCTTGAAATATTTCAGCTAATATATTTAGCAAAATATCGAGACGCGTGCAGTAACCTTGCGGTATACAGCAATATACATATACACAGATACATATATTATAAAAATAGAATGACGTTTAACAAACGTCATTTTATTTTTTCCAATTTTTTAACAACTCCAGAACGACTGGATTGATTTGGCTTATTTTGATTTTGAAATATTTGTAGAAATCCAAGGAAGGTTTAAAGGAGAGATAATATGTTGAAATTGTAAGAAGAATACTAAAAACGACAATTTCATTTTTATATGCAAACAGTTATTACACTCCTTCGAATGGATGTCACCAAAACCGTGGCTATCTTCACGCCTATGTACTATTTTTTATTTTTTACGCGAATGACTGGCCGATTCCACGCCGAGAATTTTTTTAAATCTCTTACGTATATAATGATAATCAAAATGAAATAATGAAACATAAATACAAGATAATAATAAAAATGTAAATAATAAATAAATCATATATTATATTTAACAAATTTTGGAAATTATTAAAATCATTGCAATATTAAAACAAATTTTTTGGATTTGGATTACAATAACTTAGACTATTTTGAAGTGACATATGAAGATAAAGGAAGGTGTATAGAATTAAACAAAGAAGAGTTGGCATGTTCACCAATGGAAATCATTAATATGGATACTCAGCTAAACTGTATCTTAAATGAATTATATGATAGAACTACCAACACCACCTGCAATATAATAGAATACACGATAAAGGAAGCCAGTTGGTTGAAAATGACACACCGAATCTCTGGCTAGTCATTCCACCATATCTATAAATTTAGCTATAATGTGCGACGGTTCTCGATCTGAACAATGAATCAAACGAATTTTATAAAGCTGTCACCAAAATGCGTTGCTCAGACTCGAAACATAACTCACATCCAGTAATGGATTGGAAACAGCAATTGGAAGTTACTTAAAGACTCCCGTCAGTCCCATTGAAGAGCTTATGAAGAGGAAAATCATAAAGCAGAACAACATTCCCAGACATATAAATATTTGGGGAGATGAGTTGCCAAATATTGTACTTGAGGTAGAGCAGGTTGACCAAGATATATCCGAACACACGTGGAAAACCATTGCTAACCATCAGTGGATTCCTTATTTAACCACGGGACTAGTCACTATATTCATTGTTATGTCGATTGTCATTATATGGAAGGTATTCGAAACTTCAAAAGAGCCAGAAAACAAAGGCATCAAGGTTCTTGCATTCAACCTCATCATAGAGAAAGCCCTTCCTAGACCAGTTTCACTTAATGCGCTTAGATTTGAATTAGATAGTTTAGCTGAAACATAAGTTCTAAATAATCAAGTTATAGGCAACACTGTTCGGGTAAGATAATAATTCAATAACCGAGTGAATTAGTGTCATGATTATTGTTGTATTATTATTTTATATATGTTAAGATATTTTCTATTGCTCGTTTCTTTTATATAGTGGCCAATATGTTCAATCTCAAATTACTCCCTTAATTTATAATCTGACATTATTCTTAACTTCTTAACTTTTTATAGTTTCACCGTGTATAATTGAAACATTATGAAAACATATCGTGTACTATTTTAAAAATTAGAGTCCATTTACCTGCAACTTAATATATTTTCCAGTTGAACTTCCTAAATGTTGCAGTTACGTCCTAGATTAAACTGTATTGTAAGCTCATAGTTCAAAGTTTATTGGTATGATAGAAGCATTAACTCTGTGCTAAGGTATACACTATTTGTGAAATTATAAATTGGGAATTTGAGCTCATTTGAGCGCAGTCTATTTTAGACCGTCAATAAAACCATAATTTTTACTCCGCAACTTCAACATTTTATTGTATTTACCGTCGTCGATCGAGAAGAATCGGACAAAGCGGCATTACACCACGATTCGATCCATATAACTACATTCGAAGCTGTCCATTTTTTAAAGATAAAAATTATGGTTTTTCAAATTTTAAATAACTTAAATGTAAGGTGTTATTATAAAAAATATATTATGTAGTAATAATTATGTATATAAAGCGATATAAAAAGTATTTACTTCTGTCGTCACTCTACAAGTGCCTGGTGGTGTTTTCATATACAAATTGTTTGAAAGTTCCTGCTTGGTACAGGATTTTTCCATACTGTTCCGTAACATATGTATATTTAAATAGCACTTAAGTGTAAACATTTTAGCAAACATTTACATGCAAAAGGTGTGCCTCTTCGTGCACTTTTGAATGAATTTTTAAAAACTGTTTAGAGCAAATGTTTATCTAAATTATTTTTTGAGTGTATTCTAATTTTTTTAGTTGTTGAATAGTGTTTTAAGTATTAATATCTTTACAAGAGAAACCCCTTAAATTAAACTTCACTTCACAATGAAACTATTTAAATTTTGTAAGTTCTGCATTTTTTCTCAGTCACTGTGTAAATCTGGTAATATATCTACCTTGTATTGAAAGTTATTTTTAGTATCAGATAAAACAACTGTACATAGTATCAGTTATTACAATAATATTACAATAATACAACTGTATCAATAAAACCGTGATATTTCCGAAATTATTTCTGTCAGATCTGTTCGAAAAATAACAGATCCCTTTTTATAAAGAAAGTTGATGCCCTCTCTAAATTGAGTTCTCCGGCAATTCAGGCGATATAATAATAGTAGGAAAAATGTATACAAGACTTTTTCTTTTATTTTCTTAATAATTATTATTTTATTAATAATTCGTTTAAAGCCATCGCTGGTGTTGATGGGAAATTCATATAATCACACTTTTCTAAATAATATTTTCTAAACATTGATTACTTTAGTAGAACGATTAAAAAAATAACAGTTCCATTTGTGTAAAGAATGCAGACGCCATCTTCAAATTGAGCCCTCCGGCAATTCGAGCAATATCTATTAGGAAAACCGTATTTAACAGTTTTTGTTGCAGTTTCTTAATAATGATCATTGTATTAACAATACGCTCAAAGCTATCCTTGGAATTCGTGGGAAATTAATATAATTTTTTTTAAATCAGGCCTTATCGTGTGCATCACTTTCTATTATTTGGCACAGCGCGAGATATATGATACCGTGATCTAGCGCTTTCTAAAACCATATATTTTCTTTAAATAGATTTTTAATTGTTTCTGTAGAAGAATATTTATGTATTATACAAATATTATATTAAGAACCGTGGGATCGTTACTAATGACTGATGAATTAAACCTTTAGTTTATCATATACTTTTTAATAATCCTATCCTATGGATATTTCATAGCAAGTAAACAGCATCAGGAATAGCATCATAATTTAGATAAAGGCATCATAATTTAGGTAGTACTCTTAGTAATTTTAGTAGTAAATAATCATCATGTTTGACCATATTTGCCTATTATTGTTAAATATTCCGAATACGTGTTTAACTCTCGATCGGAAATCTAACAGTTTAAAGCTTGATTCTTTAATATTTGGATGCAGTTATCAATTTAAATTCTCTCCTGACATTTTTATGATATATGTTTCCCTTCTGTATTAAATATGTGCGATAGCTGTTATGTTAATATTTCAGACCGTTTAGATCTACATAAAACACAATATATACAAGGACCATTCGTAAAATAAGGTTTCCATGAATTTTAAAAATACTGCCCATAGGGTTCCAGAATAAGTGATAATTATTTGGTGCTAGGTCCGGACTGTACATAGGTGGGGAGAAGCACAGTAGTCCAGCCGAAATCTATTAGCCGTTGTTTAGTTTGATGTGGGACATGAAGTCGAGAGTTCTCTTGGAGAAGCGTCACATAAATTGTGCTGAGGGAAGCCTCAGGAATACGTAAAGTAAGTTCGGTAATAACAAACCTCTGATCTTCAAGCAATATTCGTTCAACTTTTTTGAAAATTTTGTCTGAAACTAAAAGCCTTTCGCTTCGATCTTTATCGTGAATTTCAATTCGGCCTTCACTAAATTCTCTACACCATTTGAACAGATATGGACTTTCCTCAATAAACTTCGATTAACTGACAATGAATGTCAATAGGTGAAATTCGTTTTGCACAAAACAAAACAAAAAATGTATCACAGCACGAATTTTACATCTGGCGGTAATGGCGATTGGAAGCTTCTTCTTTAAAGGCTGCTACGCCGGCACTAAGCAATGCAGTGTGGTGTTTATGGTGGGGCAAGAGAGAGGGAGAGTTAATGCATAGGGCAGTATTGCCAAATTTCTCCCAGTACGTCACATTCTTTCTCAGCGGCATCTTCTTCTAACGGTGCCTATCCGTTCTGGATGTTGGCGATCGGCGTAGCTATGCTAATAAAGGGTTCCCCACCAGCGGCATAAGAAACCTTTTTTTTAAATGATCCTCGTAGATTTTATACTAGTAGTTATTATATTATATTACACATCTAATTTGCCAGTAACTTTTAAAAAACATTGTTTCTAATATTATTTTTCTTTTGTTACAGATCATGGACATATCTCAAAGTCATAACCACCTGAAGCAATAATGATTCAATCGACTGATCTTCAATAGCCTGTAGAAACCTTCTAGAAGTTAAAAAAAGTTAACAAGTCTGATAATAGTAATAAGTGAATGAAAACACTGTCATTATGAAAACCACGAGCGCCTTTCTCGTGGTCTTTCTCACGTGCATTCTAGCAGCACTTCCAAGTCTAGCCAGTTCTTCGGTCATTTCTTCCGAGCCCGAAGGACGATGCGAAGAAATCACGATACCGATGTGCCTCGGAATAGGATACAACTACACTCGAATGCCAAACGAGCTCAACCACGAGACTCAAGACGAAGCTGGTCTAGAGGTCCACCAGTTCTGGCCGCTAGTAGAAATAAGATGCTCACCAGATCTGAAATTTTTCTTGTGTTCTATGTACGCGCCTATATGTTTAGAAGACTTTCTCAAACCATTGCCGCCGTGTCGAGGTATCTGTACTAGAGCGCGAATTGGCTGTGAACCCATCATGACTCAATACGGATTTAAATGGCCTGAAAGGATGGAATGTGATCATTTTCCCGTACAAGGAGGAGACATCCTTTGTATGGACCAACCTGCTCAAAACAATGCTTCATCAACTCCCAAACCCACGTCAAACCGGAAATCACTGAAACCCTGTAAGAACGGTTCAAAAAACTGCACAGTTCCCCTAGGAGATCCAAAAAGAAAAGAGTGCAAATGTCAATGTCAACAACCCCTCGTCTCCATGGGGAGAGAAATGCAACTAGGCATAAATCGAAGCGTCGCCGGCATCGCAAACTGTGCATACCCTTGCAAGGAAACGTACTTCAATCCAGACGAAAAGGAGTTCGCCACCATATGGATAACGCTGTGGTCAGGTCTATGCGCCGCCTCCACCCTAATGACACTTACCACGTTTTTCATAGAAACGGAAAGGTTCAAGTACCCTGAGAGACCAATAGTATTCTTATCTGCATGCTACTTTTTGGTATCCGTAGGATATTTAATAAGAGTAGGAGTGGGTCATGAAGAAGTTGCTTGCGACGGAAGCATTATCAAGTATACCTCGAATGGACCGAGTCTTTGTACAGCCGTGTTTCTATTAGTTTATTTCTTTGGCATGGCTTCTTCTATATGGTGGGTGGTTCTTTCTCTCACGTGGTTCTTAGCTGCTGGACTGAAATGGGGAAACGAAGCAATTGCTAGTTATGCTCAGTATTTTCACATAGCAGCTTGGCTGATCCCTACCTTCCAAACTTTAGCTGTGCTACTTTCAGGAGCAGTTGATGGAGACCCCGTCTCTGGCATTTGTTACGTTGGAAATATGAACATGGACAACTTATGGACTTTTGTTTTGGCTCCTTTGGTGGTCTACTTAATACTTGGTACTAGTTTTCTATTAGCTGGATTTGTTTCGCTGTTTAGAATAAGAAATGTGATCAAAAAGCAAGGCGGTGCTGGAGCTGGTTCCAAAGCTGACAAATTAGAAAAGTTAATGATTCGCATAGGAATATTTAGCGTATTATATACTGTACCTGCTACAATAGTCATCGGTTGCCATTTGTATGAAAATACTTTCCATGAAGAATGGATGAAATCTCTAGCTTGCACTTGTCCTGCTAACGTAATTTCCATGAAAGAGAGGCCTATATACTCTGTCTTAATGCTCAAATATTTCATGGCCTTAGCGGTAGGCATTACATCCGGGGTTTGGATTTGGTCGGGAAAGACCGTCGATTCGTGGAGAAGACTCTCAAGAAGACTATTAGGAAGATCAGATCTGTCGGGAGCTAACGCCGCCTTGATTAAGAATCGAAACAAACCTCCCCCGCCTGGTTTTCTAATGGCCGGTCCAGGTAGCGCTTCTCTTCTCGGTCCCACTGGCAGCGTTGCCTCCGCCAGCCAGCATCATCTCCACCACCATGTCTTGAAACAACCACCGCTCAGTCACGTATGACAAGCGGGAGAAGGGGCCGCACCTGTTATCGTGAGCCATCCACCCCAAGGTTCTGGACCTTCGTTAAGCAATTACGGGCCCATTTGAGTGACCGCCTGGGGGCCCAGAGATATGGTCACAGCTCTCTAGTCTTCGCCGGTGCCAAGTCGGACACTTCTTTTTTGTACAGAAAATTTTTCCTAGTTTTGTTATATATTTATTTATTGAATATAAGTGTATAAATGTGAAGGGTTATATACTCATGAAGATTTATTTTTATTGAAAGGGGATTCCACATTTTATGCTACAATTCTTTTCAAAGATTAGTAAAATATTTTACATTTATAGAATCGTAATTGACTGAACTGTCAGGCGAATGAAACCATAGGTTTCGCAGTCAATATCCCAACCACGCCCACACAGTTAAACTGTCCTATACTGCTATCAATAAATCAGCCAATCGCGTCTACTGCTGGACATAGGCCTCCCTCAGTTTTTTCCAGTGTTCTCTACACTGGACCGCTTGTAGCCAGTTTCCCGCTACACGTTTTATATCATCGGTCCATCCAGTCGGTGGTCGCCCTCGGCTTCTTTTATAGTTTCTGGGCCTCCATTCCATAATACGTTTTGTCCACCGTCCATCTTGTGCTTTGGCTAAGAGCTAAAGTTTATCTTTAATCCTGCTCTTTCAGACAGACTTTTAAGCGAATGCATCATAGAAACTGTATCTTGTAAATTATCTGCGATTAATACAACATCATCTGCAAAATTTAGGTGATTTAATCTTTCTCCATTTATATTGATGCCCATATCTTGCCATTGAGTGCTCTTAAATATTGACTCTAGATCTCCCGTGAACAATTTTGGTGAAATATTGTCTCCTTGTCTAACTCCTCGACCTAAGCTGAATTTTTCTGTGTCTTCGTGTATTCGTATACTTGGTATAGCGTTCTCGTAGATGTCCTATACTGCTATAGTTCAGTATAAATGCAGTTTGGTTGCTGTCGTTTATAAAATCCATCGAAACCATGCTAACATATTTTAAGTTATTTGCTTGAACCAGCAGTTTTTCATTTAATTCTTTTTTAACACTTTGACTGCCATAAGAAGTATGAATCAGCTTTTGATTCTCGCTTGTATGTTATTTATATGGGATAGAAATATGTCCGGCTGGAAGGACCCTCTTATTTTCACTATAGCGGCAGTCTAAGTGTTAATCTCAGAAAAGTCATTAAGTATAAAAATATCTGTACAATCGGTTCAGAAATACAGCAACAATTCATATAAATAAGTATTTTCACGTTCATTAGTTTCTTTTTACCATATTTTCAAGTTCACTTCCTAATCGGTAGGTTAGGCTTCCGATAGACAGTGATTAACATAACAAAACCGCATATCAAAAATATGGAACCCTCGATAGCCTGACTCAGATGTATAAATTTGCATATTTTAAATCTAAATGATTTCTTTAACTCAAAAATAAGTAGACACGTTGTTATTTTAAACTAACCATGACTTAGCTAATAGGAGATAACATCCAAAAGTTGTAAATAATTTTAACTCATTGAATATACAACCAATATCTTCAACTATCCCAATGTTATTGCTTTCACAACCTTCTTTAAGTATAGCGTTATCATTTTCTTTGAACAGAATTGAAATTACAGGTAAATGTGATGAAAGTGTTTATATAATTATTGTGAATTTTGGTAGTTTTTGCTCAAAATTTGGTACAATTATTCTGGTTCTGCTTCTCTGCGTATTTAGATTTGCTCAAACGTCAAGGGCATGTGACAGATTATGTTTAACACTGATTTCCATTCATATGTTCTTATTTATGCATTAGTGAGATATTTTAAAAGTAACTACTTAATTAAAGCTTAAAATAGCTTGGCTATTTTAAGTACCTACTTAATTAAAAGCGTTCGCAAATAATTGTACCAAATGGTTGTCTTTTACAAATAGTCAATGGTAATTCAAGTACCATATAACTGAGTAATTACCTTTGGCTAAATTTAACGAAAAGTACAAGAGAATATTAAACCAGTCAAAGTGACAAAGGATTAGTCCTATAATATTAAATAAGTTAAAAAAGCGGTATACAGGGTACCAACATTCGTAAAAATATCATCGTATTCATAAGACTTGGTTGTTTTTTCTCTTGTACATTCAAAATCTATACTCTCCTCTCAGTGAGGATCTACCACAAGTGATCGCTAAATACGTAAATAAAATTATTTTAAAATTTTAATGTTAAGGTTCTATGTACTAATAATATATGTCCAAACGACAAAACAGACAAATTTTGGTACTTGGTAATATCTAATGCAGTAAACATTCACTGGATCTTCTACATGTATCAGTATCTACTTTATTTTCATTTTTAACAAAATATGGTTGCAGAAAATACATTTATCGGAACTTCCGGTTCCAAAGTAATTCCTTGCGTTCAACGAAAACTAGCAGCTTCCGCAATGGGAGTTTAAGGGTCTCTTTCGGTTCAATCTTTCAGTAACCAATATATGTAGGTAATAAAGAGATGAAAGCTGAAATACTTCGATCACATATGAGATATCCTGAAAAATATAAACTTTCGCACCTGATCATTCAGGGAAAGATCCGAGGCAAACGTTGTCCTGGTAGAAAAAGAACGTCATGGCTGAAAAATCTATGACAGTGGTACGGCAAATAGACTACATCATTATTTAGAGCTGCTGTCGATAAAGTTCCGATAATGATGTCAACATGATATCCAACGATAGATAATGGGCCAAGGAACTAGAAGAAAAAGGTATACGTCTAGTTCAAATCCTGAGCGAATTACATTTGCAAATAATGTATAGCAGTTTTTTCTACAGTTCACATCTACACCATGATTCATTCACCTTATCTGTGTTGTATAGATGCTTTCCTTGCCAACAGTGCTCAATAATCACTTGTTTGACTGCTTATAGCTCCCACTTACTGAGCTTTGTCAGACTGCGAGTTTTCTATCTATACTGTTTATAAGCTTCTTTATATAGATTCGCTCTTGCATGGATTTCCACTTATTTTGAAACTCCTTTTCAGCCAATTTTAAACCTCATAACTGTCTTTAGTCACTCCACAAAGCGGATTGGAGCCCACAAAGGTTTCTCTCCAGTTTGGTTTGCTAACGAGTCTACTTGTTCGTTACATTGCAATCCCTCATGCAAATGTCCAGTTGGAATCTTGTTCCCTACATGGTTTGATCGTATTAACTCTTTCGTTTAAAATTCTGGTGCCAGGCTCCTTAAGAACATTCAATACAACCTTAGGTATCCGTGTACTCGTATGGTTGGTTTTCAGTTTCAGGATAGCTGTAAAGGCTGCCGCTGAAATATATGAAAACAACAGCGAGAGCTATGAGAGCCTCTAAAGATGCTGTCTCTGTCCTTTTATGGGATTCCGTAGTATTTATGGGCCTCTATCTCTTTAGAATAATGAGAATAGCTGTACAGGACTGTACAGCCATTTTCCAACACAGTACATATCCATAAGTTACCATTTATCCGTCATATCTCCGCTGTGTATAACCAGTAACTAACTTTTGGTTTTAACTGGAGGTTTTACCTATAACCCTTTAACAACACAAGAATAGTTGCTTACTCTATTGAAGATATTATTGATTAGAATTATCATGGCAAAAAAGTACTTCTGGAAAACCGGTCTCATTTTGTGAACCCAGATAGCCACAAGCATATAAATAGTTTAGGTACCTCTTACAGTGTTGTGCATGGATAAACAATATAAAACTTATACACATGGTATGATAATTCGATAATTATCTGATACATCTGTGGTAGGTTTTAATTTCCGTGTCAGTCCTGGTAGTAGCGTACGTTTTCGAGCATTAAACTGACTTTGATTTAACCTGAGTCAGCAGTTAAGTCACTCGATCTGTTTCCGCCTCATACCAACTCAAATGTGAATTTGGTCTTTGTGCAGTGTCACTAATCTTCCTTTTAGTCTGATTAAAATTTTTCTTAAAATCGTTTCTTTAAAACTGATATTCCATTTTTTTATTGGACCCATTATTAGGGTTCTTCTACATATTAAATCTTCGATGTTGATAATTTTATTAACAATTCACAACTGCATATCACGGGTTATTCAAATACATATCCAATAATTGAATTAGCATACAATGGACCATTTTTTGATCTACATTAAGCTAAATAATTCAAAAAGTTCATATTTTTTTATTCTCAGAGGTCCAAGGTTTACATTGGAAAATCTTATGATTGAACTTTGTTTACCTCTCTATTTTGTACGTGCTATTTGATCCTTAAAGTCACTTGTGGGTTTTATTTTTACATATGCTGTGCATTATTGAGACAGTTATTGAGTGTATATCCAAACATCTCTTGGAATTACTATACAAGTACCAAAGTTTTTTTGTTAATTCAAATGGATTAAAAATTTATTTTATTGTCTAGTGAGTGCTGTGAATAGATGCGTGAGCATTTGATAATTCAATGGAACTCTGTGGGTAAAAGAAGTAAAATATATAGCCATATTTGTGCCATAATAAATGTTATCGGGGGACCATCCACTGGAATGGAGATTTACATTTCATTGAGGTATCAATATGAGTGATTGAAACGACAATTTTTTGAAAGGATCTTATATGTATATATATATTCTTGTAGAGATTTTCTTGTTAGACGTTAGGATTTCTTTTTGGTACCAACCCCATAATCTTTTGTACTTATAGCCGTCTATGTAACCGATTTTTGTATATAGATATACAAGCAGCAAATGAAACATATTGTATCAAAAATAAGGCTGCTAATCAGACACATACTAATAGGTAATAACATAGTTAACCTGTTGATTGTATGTAAGGAACAAAACGTGATTCACTGTATCCATAGAGTTCGTCATTTCTTGCAACTTTTGAGAAAATAACCATTCAGTAGAAACACAAATGTATTAAAATCTAAAATTAGCTTTAGGAAAAAATCTGATCAAGGATCTATAGACTGAAAACAACCAAGATTTAATAGTGTGGTTAAATTTTCTCCAACTAATACATATTTGTGGAAAAGAAAATGGCAAAGTATCAAATAAGAATCCTAAAAACAAAAAAGGATTTGATATGACAGATATGACATGATTAATGACAGCTGTCATACTTCAGATTTAAATATTGACAGATTATTTTAAACAAATGTTTTTTGAACTAGATAATTTGTTTTATTGGAACTCTGACGTTGCAAAAGATGCAGAACTCAAAAAATAGCTTTATTATAAATAGCCGTAGTACATATCAAATTTTTATATATATAAAAAAATCAAATGTTTATAATTCGCACATTTCTTTGGTTGTAAGGATAAGTTATTAACACGTTTCTCTCCTTTTTTTATGACTATATTACTGTTTTGTACATTATTTTTTATGCTATAATATTCAAACTTCGACTGAGCACAAAAGTTGTTTTTGTATATTTTTTTAAAGAAAAAACTTGTACAGTATATTATTTGTAACTGCGTGTATAGTAGTGTTAGTTACTGTAACTTGTCTGTATGCTTCAAATTGTATACGATTAATGATTATATTTTATTGTTCGAATTTAAAATTTTGTTGTTTTATTTCTGGCCCTTTCATTAAACATTACAGGGATATGATGGAACCTGATATTGTAACGCCGATTTTTGATAACTTCGAGTACATACATTTAATTCAAGGTCAGATTAGCTCATGTCGGAGAGAAGTGGTGTGGTAAGGTCAACTGCACAAAAAAAACTACGTAGTATGTCAAAATTTCAAACACAATTAGATAACTGAAATTATAATTTATCATTGGACGCCACCCCTTGTTTATCCTCGTAGGGGACAAGAGAAAAAAAATAAGATATATAAAAAAATTTACAGCGAAATTACACTTTATTTCTCAGTAATAAAAAGAAACATTAAAAGTTGTTATTTCCAAAGGATACTAAAATACCATTTCATAATTACATTACTATAAACAAAGCAACTTTCTATCTTTTTAAATCAAGAATTGGTTGATAGAAACAAATGAATTTATATATTTTTCCCAAATTTCGAAATTCGTTTACATTTAAAATATTATAGTAGTTATTTATTAACTAGGCAACATAGAAAAGTTAAATCTATTTATTAACTAGGCATAAAAGAAAGGTTAAGTTTTTAAACAAAATTTAAAATATTTCACTATATTCTTGTCTCTGTGAATCCATAAATAATTCTCGCGTTCCTGATAGGGCTTAATAAAAAAAAAGGTACAACCTTATTTATCCAATCTCTGGGACCCAGGAAAAAAGGGACATACTCTGCTTCTTCTCATCCGTTGGTTATTTCATCAAATATTTACTAATAAGAATCCATTTATATAATAGGTAATTATTGGAAACCATATATAGGGAAGTGTTGGACCATAGGAAACTGTCTCAGTTAACTTAACATAATCAATGGACTTCAACCTCCCAGAAAAGAGTCTGAAAATAATTATTCATCTGAAATATAGACAAGAAAAAGCTTTTCTTTGTAGCTTACCTCTAATCTAGAGACTTACTTCGAAAACGCGTCCTATCGGGTGGACGTTTGTAACAGGAAAGGAAGCGACGCTATTTCAACGGTTTTGAATTGGGGGCGTGATTGACAAGTTAATATAGTTCTCATCTATCGGATATGTTGGGAATTACCGTAGAAACCTTGAGTCGAATACAAGCACCTGACAGATAGGTGGGGTTAGTAGTTTTATTAAAAAAAATAATCAAATTTATAATGAATTTTCTAAAACTTTTGAAACGGTTACAATATTAATTGAAGACCTTATAGCAACAACGGTACATGCCACAAGAGTAAGTTTTTGAAAAAATCAATTATAAAGGTTTTAATCAAATCCTGAAATACCAAATATAGATTAGAAATTCAGTAAATGGTGTTATTTGAAAACTTTATACCTACTATCCTTAAAACGCTAAGAAAAATCCGAAAAATGTGGCTTTACAAAAAAAATATTAATATATTAAGTTGCAAAATAGGTATCTTATCATAATATTATAAATTATATACAGTACTAAACATGAAAAAAACAATACATAAATTGCAAGTCTATACTTACAATTTTTTTAAAATCACTTAATTTTCATCCTCCAGATCGCTAAAGTCATCCAAATGTCCTGTCTCATTTTCTATATAATCATTATCTGTTCCCATATTTTCAACAATGTCAATCTCTCTGTAGTAATTCTGATAAATAGGTGGTATATAGCGAAGAAGCATCGAAATATTAGATATTTTTTCTGGATTTAATGGAATGGGTGCATCATATTTAATTTTTAAATCTCTTATATTCAGGTTTATTGCAGTTCTAACACCTCTCCTACCAATATTGACAGATTGAAATCATTCGTTCCAAAGATGTTTACAAAACATAGCATTGGGAGTCTCGTGAGTAAATTTAAATGTGCAGATTTTAATGAAATTAAGCTTTTTCTTTATTTTCTGTTTGCGTTTTTTGCTAATATTTTGGATCTGTAAAACCTTAAGACAAAATATCTTGTTGCTGTAGAACAATACTTGCTTCAATATTATACACAGTTTACAACAGTGACATCCCCTTTCCACGCAAGGATCAAAGTCTCTACTCCTATTCGCTGATGATACAGCCATTCTCACCTCAGGCTCCAGCAGAGAGGGAGAACGACGGTCTGTATTCGATAGATCGCAAGCCTACCTCGATAGAGTCGTGAGGTGGTGCAACAAATGGAGGATTACTTTAAACCCATCCAAAACCCAAGCTATTGTTTTCAAACCTCCTTACGGGCGTGACCTCCGGGGCCGGGTGACACTTCTGGGAGAGGACCTTATTCTCAGGAACTCAGTTCTCGACTTGGGAGTTCGTTTTACGAGAACTCTCAATTGGAAGGCTGACGTCCAAGAAACCGTTGACAGGATGAGAAAGAGGTTTAATCTCCTGAAAGTGCTAACCGGAAAACTAGGAGGAACGTCCTCTAAAACATTGTTGCACACCTACAGGACTTTTATCAGGCCGATACTCGAATACAAGGCATGCGTTTACCTTTCTCTTAGGAGCCACGAACTTAATGCCATCACAGCCACTGAGCGTAGAATTCTACGCTACTGTATGAGAAAAGACTGGTTGTATCCATCAGTCCACATATACACATTGGCCAACATCACGCCAATTAAGGACAGAATCCTAACCCTCAGCAAGAAATATGTCCTAAGAACCATAGCTGGCTCGAACAACTGAGCAAAACAAATTTTAAAGACGCCTTGTACACATAGAGGGCAAATACTCACCAGGTACCCTACCAAGAAAGTTCCATTCCCTCCAGCTAAAGTTCTATACAACGCTGGACATGAACTTCCTGACGAGTATTTTGAAATTCTTGAAACTTTTCCCATCCACTATCGCAGATAAAAACTGCGCGCCATAAACGCTGATAAAGAGCCGTTCCTACCTTATGGCTGGTAACCCCTGAAGTACCTTACACTGCATGCTAGGCAAATCCAACTTCTTGTGCGTTCTATCGATTCTTATCGATCACATAAATAAAAAAACCACCTTCTTTTTCCTCCGTTTCTTAGTAGTTTACTACTTCTTAGTTCGCGTTTCGCTTAATTGACGTTTATCACACCCCCACAACTCCGTCAAAAAAAAGGAGTTCCCCATTCCTTTAAGAGGCGTAAGCCTAAACAAGGTTAAAACTCAAGAGTCAGTAGAACAATGACATTAAAAGGATTTTTGATTTTAAGACTGCTTGATACCAATCAGCAAGAGTATACACCTGATTTAAATAACGGCGTTTATGTCTTTCAATAATTGCGAAGTCACCATCAGTAGGAAGATGCGTGTGTCCCACTACTAGAAAATTATGTTCTATTGTATCAAAGCTTGCCATAGACATACAATGGTCCAATTTTTGTCTTGTTTAGCGCAATTATCGCTACATACAACAAGCTTCCTATGTTCAGTAGGATTTTCTTTAAAATGCTTATATAATATACTAGTAATTTCGTCACTTCCACGTTTTGCTAAGTGTTCGAGCCACATATACATATATCTTATATCTTCAACACAGTCATGTATTCCTAAGTTATAGGTCTAGATTTTTCGTAAATTCAGGACCAACTGTCAATGAAGGTACAGGTAGAGCTTGCTGTAAATCAAAACAATGGTGATGACAAGTGTATCTTTTGTTCTCTTAGCATTTTCTACTTCATCTTTCAGGTTTTTTGCAAAGTTTCGGCCTTTCGATAGTGTAGCTTAAGTAGAGTCTTTAACCTGTCTGCTTCTGTACTGCCAACATTTCTAATTTGAATATCTAGAGAGTCTCATGCTTTGCAGGTGTCCGTTTTGGGTAATTTAGATCCAATGTTAAATTCCTTGCAAAAACATTTCTGTAGTAGCTTTTTTTACTAGATTGGCATTTCTATTTCTACACCATTCCAGGTTATAATCGTGATAAAGAGCAGAAATCGATAAATCATGATCTATGTACACTTTGTTTGGATTTTTTGCCTACTATAATGACAAGTGTATTTTGGGATGGACTTAATATGCGTTTTTACGTTTTCACGATGACAGTCATTAATTTTATTTGCTTTGTTCTGGTGTTTGCCATGATTATCTGTTTTTGGGGTACTAGCACCTTCCTTCATTTGTTCGCATTAAAGTTGAATTCTTTTTTTTTTTTCTATTTTTGCAATCCATGAACTCCAAGAAACTCTTGTTTGCATATTTTTACATCTATACCCTTGCTCTTTACAAATTATTGTGTTTAAACATTTCGCGATAATACATGTTTGTTGGTTTTCTTGGCGTGGGTTCTTTTTTTGAACATATTTGATTTGGGAAAAAGATAAATATTTTGTTTTTCATAGTCACCCAAGTTCCAAAATGCATTAAAAATCTGTGCTTCATTTCCTTACAAAGCATCTCGACATTTCTTGTTACACTTACATGCAGGTACTTGTCTTTGCCGTTTACTTACATAGCTATGGCCCTTTCGTTTGGTCTCTTATGTCTAGTCTGTCTCTCTAGGTTTGCCTGGCGCCATCTTGAAGAAAGGGCTTTCTCCGGCGTAGAAAACAAACCTCGCCTATCAAGCAAATCGTTTCTGTTTCGGTAGCAGCAGAAAATTCATTTGCCCGCAAACAAAAATAGTGTTATAATCCTGAGACTAGCATAAAAGTTTTGTAATAATTTTTAAGACAATAAGGGGATTAGCCACAACAAATCAACGTTAAATCGATATTATAACATACAAAGCAAGGATGATTATTTTTTTTATTTGTAATAATTCTTTGTTTATTACAAATAAAAAAAAAGAAAATTTAAGACATAATAATTTTCTTTAAAAAGGGGACAAGCCACAATTTTAATTACTCACGGGTGGTTCTCTACCCGAAGTGTGTTCATCTATCACTATTACTTTCAATATAGTTTTTGTCTTTAACACTATCATCAGAATCACTCTCAGAATCTTCATAATAAGACGAATTTTGTGGAGCTGTTCGACTACTTGGGGCGCCATTATAAAAATGTGGTGGCTAGTACCGTTGTTGCACTTAAAATA